ATATTAGATATGAAAATGATCTTGAATCAAGTTTATAGAAATTAAAGAATTTCTTTGGTACCAAATGAATACTAATGGAATATGTAATCTTTTACTGAATGATTCTGATGTGACTGACCCACAAGGGGATCTGTTAGGATATTAACCCTAAGAGAGGTAACTAAAGAGGAACAAAAGAGAGTGAACTCAAGATTATTATTCAGGTGGTCAAAACATGTTACATCTTTCTCTCTTTTATACATCAGTTCCCTAATACAACTATACTAAGCAATCCCTATAACTACTCATGTGCTGAGTAACTAACATAACTGTTCACGTGCTTACACATGCCAACCACTAACACATGCTGATGTCTTCACCTAACATTCCCCACCCCTTGACATTGAACCTTGTCCTCAAGGTTCCATGGATACAACAAAAAATGGAGATTCTCCTGGGTCCCAAGGAAAACACAAGAAAAAGAAAGAAATGAAGTATCCTAAGCAAAAGCCCATAATCAGAATCAAATAAAAAACTTCTTCTCTTCGTGGAAATTTGTCGAACACTCTGTGTGCATCGTGGTTGTTAAAAAGGCCCTGGTACCACTTTTGCAACTCCTTCATCAACAATTGATGATCGTGCAGTTCTGCACCTGTTGCATGCAAAAGCAAACTGTTGACTAGCACAACTTCTATGTCATGGATCCTCTCCTTGAGCCATAGGACGGTGTCGTTTACATCCATTTCAAGGGAAATGTGAACCCCTTTGAATGAGCTACGGAGACGCAACAAGGAGAAAAAGTCAGTGGGTTCCCCTATTGAATGATCTTGTTCTTGGCTCTGATCAGCCACTGTGGTTGGATGACTACTGCCCACTAATTCAACAAATGTGTAGACTCTTGTAAAAAGGCTGCTGAAAATTGTGGGTTTGAATTTGCTGCTCCATCTCGGACAATGGGATGATCGAAGGCGCCTCAGACAACTTCAAGACTTTCAACAACTCTGCCTTTTCTTCAAGATCGGCATATACATCCACTTTTGTTGTTGTTGCGGTTAAACAAATGCATCTTGAATGGCCAAAACTTGAAGAGGGTAAACCAAAATCAGTCTGAGGAATATGAGCAAGCAAGACTGCAGGTTTCCTCAATGGTTCTGCTTCTTCCTTTTGCAACAATGAAGAAACCTTGGTTTCTTGGAACACCTCATTCTCTTGGAGAAGGTCATGCACAACAACAACCCTTTCTTGCACCTGCTTCAGCTGCGCATTGAGTGAGGAGAAAAGCTTCTTTTGGGCATCAAAATGCTTGTCCATTTTCAAGCTGAAGGCAGCAAGATCTTAGGACAGTTTTTGCAATGCAATTTCTTCCTCTGGTTCTAGCACTTCCATGGAGATGTGGTGTTCGAAACAGAGAAATTGAAAAGATTTGATGTGGTGTTCCAGAATGAAAGCACCAATGTTAGGATATTGACCCTAAGAGAGGTAACTAAAGAGGAACAAAAGAGAATGTACTCAAGATTATTATTCAGGTGGTCAAAACATGTTACATCTTTCTCTCTTTTATACATCAATTTCCTAATACAACTCTACTAAGCAATCCCTATAACTACTCATGTGCTGAGTAACTAACATAACTGTTCACGTTGTTACACATGCCAACCACTAACACATGTTGATCTCTTCACCTAACAGGATCAGAATGGTTATAGGATAAGGGACACTTATCATGGCTTGAGCTCCGCTATACAGAACTTTTCACATACAGAACCCACAGAATTTGGGTGCTCCAGAATTAAGCATTATTCATTTCAGTTAAAGATTACACATTTCTATATATGTTTGTATACAGATACCCACAAAGTTTGGGTATAACCCACAAAGGTTTGGGTATGACTGAATGAAGAACCCACAGAGGTCTGGGCTTATATTTATTGTTTATGATATTATTTCCTTACTATAAAATTTATTTTGTGAGAATGATATTTTTCACTAAAGTGGCTGGATTTGTTATAGTTTGAAAACTCCAATATTAGTGAGATTCATTTCACGTGTGTTTGTTTTGATGCTAACATTTTCAGAGTAAACAGACCAGTATAAAATATAAAAAACTAATAAATATGCATCAAAATATGATCGTTTTAGTTGTGTCATTTAAAATGATAATTATTTTTCCTTTATATATATATGGAAAAAATATTTGTTCTTTTAAAGGATAGTCATTTTAGCTAAAGTTACTATTTTTTATTTAATATTTAAATTAAAAACTCTCACATTCTTTCATCATGATTTCTATTATGTAATTATTTTTCTCATGGTAAAATATAGTAATTTTGTCTAAAATAACATAATTACATATCCTTTAAAAGGATAAACACTAATATATATATATATATATATATATATATATATATATAAAGAAATATTATATTTATAAAATTTTTGTTTACAAACTTAACTATGTATTCTTGGGAATACAAACATATCACTCAACTATCTATTCCAGGGAATACTTGTAAATAAGCTATTATGATTAGTCTAGTGGTGGAGAATTTGAGTAGTTTGTATTAGATTATGTGTTTAATTTCCATCATTGTATCAAAAAAAAATTATAAATATAACCCTCCTCATATATGTATATATATATATATATTTGAACTTATCATTTTTCAAGCTGTTTGAGATAACTTTATCTTCAACTACTAAATCATATCCATATAAAGATGGATCAATAGTGATAAAGAAAGAGAGAGAAAAATGAAATCATAACCATTCAAAGATGAATTAAAGAAGAAAAACCCATGCCTGTAATTTAAACAAAGTAAATGCAAGGAGTTATGCATGGATAAGGTTCCCGCATTTGTGGCAGTACTGGGATGAATCGGATGATCCTAGTGATCTGGTTTTTAAGTTTTAAAATTCAAATTAAGTTAAACTTACAGAATCAACAAATCCAAACTATTTATTTTGATTTAGTTCCTTTTCAAACTATGGTTCAGTAACATATTACAATTTACAAGTTGTAAGCATAGATTTAGTTTATAAAAATATATTTATACATCGCAAACCAACCTAGAAAAGATCCCTCATTTAAATTTTTGTTTTTCTACTTTTGTAAGGTAAATGATCAACTGTTGGCATTGATGCGAGCAGTTTTTTGTCCGGGAATCTCGATTTTTTAAAATATAATTTTTACATTCAGTTTACGATAATATCCAAAAATTTAAAATTTAAAAAAATTCAATTTCTCAGGAATCTTCGAGAATGACACCTACCAAACGCCCTCTAAGCAGAATGTGAATCCGAAGCTGAACTCATTTCTGCGACTCACGAACTTTAATAAATTATTTGTGATATTTTAATAAAGGAATCTATTTATCTTACGTTCTTACACTAAAGACAAGACAGTAAAGTCTATTATTTTATCTCTTTTTAAAAATAAATAAATAATGAATTCTACTATTTTGTTTCTATTGAATAAGACAATTATCTTATACAACATAACATAATTATTTTCTTTTAATAAACATAGGATTTATTCGGGACTATTTGATTAAAAATAAATACCATTTCATTTAATAGTAATATTGCAATTCGAATGACGTTGAAGGATAAATTCAAGCAAATGAAAAATTTCTACAATTCATATTTCACATACTAGATATAGATATATACTTTAAAATTATTAGTAATGTTGTCAAACTCGAGTTTCTACGTAGAAACGGAAAGGGGTTGTAGAAATGTAAAACGTAAAAACGACACGAAACGTAAAGTTTCTACATTATACTACTTAAGATCAAGATATAAAAATATATATACATGTAAAAAAATATCACATAATAAAAACGTGTGTTGAGTCACTTATCTATCTAAAAAGGAAAATTATTTTTGATAACCAAATATCAAAATTATAAACAATGATAGCTAACAAGTAATGGATAATCAATCTGTTCTAACTGCTTCATACACTCTGCAATTTTGGATCATCGCTCATCAGGATATAATTTCACTTCTTTCAATGCACACAATGATTCAAAAACACAAAACAATTCTCATAGCATAACTTATAATAGAATTGCAGTTTTATAAGACATAATTATAAAGGGGATACTTTTTCTGCAGCCGCCGTAGAGAGTGTTATCTGCAGCTTGACACAGAAAAGTGGGCCCCACAGCTTTTCTTAAAAAAAAAAAAATCAGGATCCGGTGCCGTATCCTGACTTGCTGTATGTGCAGCGGCTGCAGAAATCATTTTGCCAATTATAAAAGACGTATATCCAAACAAAATGATATGAAGATATGTGCATATGATTTGAGGAAAACGAAAATTGGATTTTTTTTTAATTTCTTTTTTTGTAAATCTTTTTTTTTAAAAAAATAATTTGTTTTAAGTAAAAATGGTCAAAACAGTAAAAACGTAATTTTTTGCCGTTTTTACCTTTTTACACGGCGTTTTTACCAGTTTTTATCGAGGACCATTTTTACTTGCGTTTTAACACGCACCACTCTAGTAAAAACATAAGTTTTTAAGTTTTTACACTGGTTTTTGACAACAATGATTACTAGGGTATTTTTTTTTTTGAAATTTTTATTTTTCAATTTTGTAAAATTCAAATAACACTCCTACAATGAATAAAAGTAACTTAAACCTTGAGCGTAATCCACACAACACAATCTTCAAACTACATAGGTTGTTGGGATAAGATGAAAGGAAAAATAAAATTTATTGCAACTGAAAAATAAACAGATATTTCAAAATAGAAAATTTATGTATTTGTTTTAAATAGAAAATTGTTTATATAAACAGATATTTCAAAATTCTTTGAAGTCATTAAATAATAACTACACTCATATATAAGTTAGATTTTTGTTTGTTTTGGGATTACATATCCATAAGCTAAAACTAAAAATGACCAATTGGAAAGCAAAGGAATTTATAAGCATAAAATAAAATAAAATAAAATCAAACGGCAAAAACATGAATAAAAATGAAAGAATGAAACATTGGTGAGAGAGATGAAAAAGAAAAGTTGATGCTTGTCCACTCCACTCACTCACAGCGTCGTTTCTCCACAAGCAAAACGCACCCAAGAATCCAAAGTTGCAATCTTTTCGATGATTCCCTTAACCCCATTAATCTTCGCCAACAACACCGTGGCTCCGTAAGGTGTGGTTGCAGTTTTCGGGTTTCTTGTTCATGGATTTCGGAGGCCCCACCATGACCCGTTTGATCGGGGATTACATACTGGGTCCTCGAATCGGGTCGGGTTCATTCGCGGTGGTGTGGCTTTCAAGGCATCGACGCTCGGGTTTGGAGTTTGCGGTGAAGGAGATTGATACGAGGCATATGAGTCCCAAAGTCAGAGAGAATCTGCGAAAAGAGATTTCTATTCTTAGCACTATCAATCACCCTAACATCACTCGACTCTTCGAAGCAATTGAGGTAAGGTGGTTGTTTGTTTGTTTGACTTGTGTTTTTCTTTTCTCTTTTGTTTTTAAAAAATGTTTTTTTTTTTTTTTTTTTTTTTTGGGTTTTGTTTTGTTAAAGACCAATGACAGGATTTACCTTGTTTTGGAGTATTGTGGTGGTGGGGACCTTGCTGCTTACATTCATCGCCATGGCAAAGTTTCAGAATCCATTGCTCGCCATTTCATGAGGCAATTGGGTGAGTAAGACTTTGAATTCATGCCACTTTTTTGCTCTTTATGATGATTACACAATGTTATTTCTGGGACTTATATGGTAAATTTTATCTTTCAAGGACTAATGTGAACTTGTATTCTTTTTGGGTCTAAATTTGGCCATACACTCGTTTTCTAGAACATATTTGTAGATTAATTTTAGAGTAAATACCCTTTTCGGTCCTTAGCAAATTTCACGATGCCCGCTTTAGTCCCTAGCAAATAAAAAGGCTATTCGTGGTCCCTAAAAAATTCAAAGTGGACCCATTTTAGTCCTTTTGAGGGACTAATGTGGGTCTTTTTTGAATTTGTGAAGGACCACGATTTCAATTAAATGGGTCCATTTTGAATTTCTTAAGGACTACGAATAGCCTTTTTATTTGCTAGGGACTAAAGTGGGCATCGTGAAATTTGCTGAGGACCAAAAAGAGTATTTACTCTTAATTTTATAATATCTATATATTTATCATTTTTAATTATTTGATATTCATAGTCTATGCTATATTGCTAGTATAGGATTTATGGTTAACCTGAGTCTATAATAACACAACACTTTCACGAGTAGATGATTCTTTTTGGAGGTGCTGATAACCAACAAAAAAAATACTTTCAGTTATATGTCTTGCTACTAAATTTTTGCAATTCATTGTATTTTGTAAATGTTTTTGTAGTTCCGCTTGTTCAATCTTGATTTTCTCTTCCACTCTCTTCTGTACTCTGCATTGCTTGTGCTAATTGGTGGACAATGTTTGAATTTCTATTGATTTTAATCCCGGTGTTCGTCTTGTAGCTTCTGGGTTGCAGGTGCTTCAAGAAAAGAACCTCATTCATAGGGATTTGAAACCACAGGTATCTGAATGTATCTTGTGAAATTATAAAATTTTCATGGTACTTTCTCATATGTTTGTCTTGGTATATCTTAATTGACTGTTGATATTAATGATTGCATTAGCTTGTTGCAAAAGTCTACTTTTCCCTATGAGCTTTGCACACCAAGGACTCTGTTACATGACTTTTATTTAAAAAAATTCAGATGACCCTCAGAAATTGTGGGTTTTCCTTTGTTCAGAAATGGTGATATGAGCATGTAATTTATTGTATATTGATATAATCAACTCCCTTATGAACCCCTATAATTGTTTGAGCTATTATTGCACATATAGTAATTCATTCATGTCTTGATTTTATTTTTTTTCTAAACATGCAGAACTTACTATTGGCAACTTCAGCAGCTACACCAGTTCTTAAAATAGGGGATTTTGGTTTTGCAAGGTAGGATGGTTTCTTAGGAGTTAAACAATTCAAACACACATTTTTTTTTTTCATTCATTGCTGATATAAGCTGGAGTGAGCTGTTGCTTTTTGCTTCTTCTTTTTTCGGGTTTTATTATTTTTTGTTTTTGTGTAATACAATTGATAGCAGGAGACATTGATAAATTGATTTACTTGACATGAGGCCATTCTATAAAACAAAGGCTCTGCGTGTAGATGCTTGCTCTATTTGCTCTATATAATATCTCCCTTTTAGTTTTATATGAAAAATGCTCAAATGGTCTTCTCATAAAAAAGTACTCAATCTGGTTGAAACAACAAGAAGATTTTAGAAAAAATTAGTTTCTGTATTCCTTGCATTTGGTAGCTTCCTGATGTATTGTTGCACTAGGTCTCTCACACCCCAGGGGTTGGCAGATACACTATGTGGTTCACCTTATTACATGGCTCCAGAGATAATTCAATGTCAAAAGTATGATGCCAAGGTGACAAAAGCTATATATAACTCAGATCAAATTGTAATTACTGATATCTTTTGTAAAAAAAAAATTAAAGTAGTGTTGTGGTTGCAGGCTGATTTATGGAGTGTTGGGGCAATATTGTATCAGCTAGTGATTGGGAGGCCGCCATTTGATGGAAATAGTCAATTGCAGGTTTTGAAGAGGCTAAATTATGATATTTCTTCTCTTTTATCTTTTTTTTTTTCTTTTCGAAAAAGGAAGATTATGATTTTTTTTTTCTTTTCAAAAAAGGAAGATTATAGTTATGGATCTTTGTTTTTTGTTATTAGTTTTTTTTGGTAAATAGTCATATATCTTTGTTATTGTAAATATCTTTCCTTTCCCTTAATATCATTTTTTTTTTGCAGCTTTTTCAAAATATTTTGGCATGTACTGAACTGCACTTTCCACCAGAGGCTTTAAGAGAGCTACATTCTGATTGCTTGGATCTTTGCAGAAGCCTTTTACGTGGAAACCCGGGTATTCATTACAACTACGGGCCTCCCTTTTTTGTGTTTTTTTTTTTTAATAATATCTTGTTAATTGAAAAACATGTTTAAATTTTTTTATATACATTAAATAAGTTTTTCAAAGAAAAGCAAAAACTTAAAAAAAAAAAAAAACTGCTTTAGTGTTTTTCCCATAAGTTAAAAATAGTAGCTTCTAAAAAATAGGTTGTATCATAAAAGCGTTTTTTCATAGCTCAAACAAAAGCATCCTGTATGTCATGTTCACTTGTGCATGTTTATTCTGCCGCGTTGCTTTGTGAATGTGTAAAGGTGATGGGTCTGGGGTTGAAATATTATGATAGAACTGGCAATCTCTGAATCTGCATAAGAATGATACTAAAACTGAGATCGAGAAACAGTGTAATAGAACAATGGAGATACAGAATCTCCTACTGCAAGTATCTGGGCTTGACACCAAGTCTAAAACTGATCGCTATTATTTCCCTCCTATTATTTATACCCTGTTATCTCTCCCTGTCTAACTAACTAACTAACTAACTATCTAACTGTTCCAACTGACTAACCTAGACTGGCCCGTTTTCAATTGTCGTTCTGCTGACATATTATTATGTGTATATTTTAAAAGATAGTTAGAGCTCATGTAGAGAACTTCTGTAAAGTTGGACTTTAATTTGCAGATGAGAGATTAACATTCAAGGAGTTCTTCAATCACAATTTTCTACAGGAACCCAGGTCATAATTTTCTTTGAAGGTTTTGTTTTTCTAATTCAGTTTTTGTATCCCCCTTATATTTTCTCTCGATTTTGTAGCTACTTTTAGTAATCTTTTATAGTTTATAACTTATAGGTCAATCGGGAATGTTGATCAGTTTCAATTACATCAATCAGAAAGATCAATGTCTCATCAATTAGTTAGCTCTGCCTCTGAGAAGAATTCTCAATCACATTCTGAGTATCATGTCGAGTCATCTGTAGATGATCCTGTGGTAGTCAGTTCAGCTGTCAATGAGACCATGCTGTTGCAAATGAAGGATTGCAAGATCACAGCTGGCACTAAGATTGTTAAAGGGTCAACTCCAAATATTGCAAGTGATAAGCAGGGGAAGCCTGTTGATGCAGTTGCTCATTTGTCAAACCAAACCAGAGGTCTAACACTCTCTGAATACTGATATGCTTATTTTTGCATTGTTTCCGACCTGTCATTTTTCCTTCGAATTTCTAATTGTTGCTTTTCTATTCAGTTTCCCATTTAATGGAGTCCATTGAGAAAGATTATGTCCTCGTAAATCCCCATTTTGCATCATTGGAGGCTTTCTCTGACTACTATGAGGCATCCATGCAAGATAAATTCTCAAGCAGGGTTACTATCTGTCCTTCAAAGAGGACTAACCTGGAAATTGAAGCTGCTAAGCAAACAAAGGATCCGTGCTCTTCCTCCACTGATGGATTAGGAAATGTAACAAGCAATGAACTTGAGGCATCAGTGTCATCCTGTGAATTTGCTGCCTTTAGGAAAGAGCAGGGAATTTCCTCACTGCACCCTTCAAACAGGTTAGAGTCGTTGCATCAGTATGTGCAGATCCTTGCAGAACTTTCGCAAGAAAAGGTAAGTGTTGTTCTGTAAATCATATGCCATTGTGTTAAGATTAAAAACTAAATAAATTAAATTATCATTGATATTTATCAAAGATATATAATATAAAATTATTAATGTAGCTTTTATCTATCAACTTAAGTTTTTTGAGTTGAATTGGTTGCTTGACGTGGTATTAGAGCTTCCGTGAATAGATGTTAGAGAAATATTGTGGAGTTTCTTAGCACAGGTACAAGCTTGTTGCATTGTCCTCCCTTCAAGTCCAATGAGCTCTTGTGTGAGGGGGCGTGTTAGAGAAATAAAAAAATCATCAAAAAAGCCTTCACTTACGAGTTTAAACTTTTAGATTGAATTGGTTCTTTACAATATTGATACCCTTTAACTTTAGAGTCTTATTTTCTACGTTGTATTGTACATCAAAATGATCACAGAACTGTGTTTGCATGCCAAATTAGTTGGGGTTGGTGGCAACCCAAATGAAAAGTACAAAAGGATTAAGGAAAAAAAGGATAAAAATAAAATATATATATAACAATATCCATTAAAAAAGCAATAAACAATTAAAAGAAAAAATAAATAAAGTGAAAATAAAGATACATAAGAGTAAAAAAGAAAAGAATGAGAATGTTAAAAACGTAAAAATAAATAAATTAATTAAATAAAGAAATAAAGAGATAAAAATAAAGGAAAAAATAAATAAATGAGAGAAGAAAGATCGAGGAAAAGGAGAAATGAAAGAGAAGAAAAAAAGAAAGAAATAAAAATGAAAATAACTAAAAAAGAGGTAAAAAAAGAAATAAAGGGAGATAAAGGAGAAAATGACTAAAAAACGATCATTTGGAACATAGGAAGAAAAATGAGTCTAACCCTCCACAATGCTAGTAGTTTTTCTCCAATCCGTCTTAAAACACACTGTCTGTCAATCTATATTCCTCTCCATTAAGTATTGTTTTACTACCATCCCCCAAGTAAGTTTTAGTCTACCTCTTTCTCTCTTTGTGTCAAGCTCTTAGTAACAAACTTTTATTTTTACTGGAGCATCTAGGGGCTTTCGCTTTATATGCTCAAACCACCTCTATGTTCTCTCATCTTTTCAACCATCGATACTACTCATATCTTTCGTCAAATACCTTCATTTTTTATCTTATTCATCATCGTATAACCACACATCCACCTTAACATCAACATTTCCGCTACTCCCATTTTATTCTCATGTTGCCTATGTGTTGGCCAACATTTAGCTCCATATACATTGCAAGCCTTACACCATTGTTCTATAGAATTTTCCTTTTAGCCTGAGGGGAATTTCGCGGTCACACAGATGCCCTAATGCATTGTGTCATTTCATCCACTCTACGCTGATTTTATAATTTACATCCTCATCAATCTCTCTACTTTTTTGCAAAATTGATCCTTGGTATTTGAAAGCATATTTCTTGAGTACCTTTTATCCAAGCAAATGTACGGAATCTTGATCTCTATAACTTACTAGAGTAAACTCACACTTCATATACTCAGTCTTGCTTCGGCTTAGCGTAAACCCTTTAGACTGCAACATGCTTATCCATAATTCTAGTTTTCTATTACCAGCCTTGGTCTCATCAATAAGTACAATGTCATCAACAGAAAACATACACCATGACACTTCCTCTTGATTATTTTTTGTTAGCTCAGCCATAACTAGGGCAAAAAGATAAGGACTTACAACAGAACCTTGGTGTACACCTACAGTGATAAGAAAATAACTTGATGTTTCATTACAAGTTTTCACACATGTAATAGCATCATTGTACATATCTTTGATTGCCTCTACATACTTTGATGATATTTTTTTCTTCTTAAGGACTCACCATAGAGCCTTTCTTGGAACCCTATCATATGCCTTCTCAAGATCTATAAACACCATATGCAAGTCCTTCTTCTCTTGATATCTCTCCATTAATTGTATCAAGAAAATGGACTCCATGGTACAACTTCTTAGCATAAACCCAATTGATTTACAGAGACCTTGGTCTTTCTCCTCAAGCGATGTTCATTAACTTTTTCCCACAATTTCACAGTATGGCTCATAAGCTTAATGCTTATAAGGTTAGAACAATTTTGGATATCTCCATTGTTTTTGTAAATTGGCAAAAGCATATTTTTCCTCCGTACATTAGACATTTTGTTTGGAGAATCTTATTGAAAAAGATTTGTTAGCCAACTTATTGTCACATCCCTTTAGCCTCTCCACACTTCAATAGGGACACCATTTGTTCCAAATAATTACTAGTCTTTATCTTCTTTAAAACTTTCTTAACTTCATATGCTTTGATTCTGCGCATAAACCTTCTGTTCAAATCATTATAGGCATCCTTCAAATCCACGTCACTTTTATTTTCATTCCCATTAAAAAGTTTGTTAAAGTAGTTCATCCACCTTTCCTTAACTTATGTATCTTTTACCAAAAGTTTTTTATTTTCATCTTTATCTGGGTCAGGTCTTTATTTTTCTTATCCCTTATCTTTGCAAGTTTATATATACCTTTATTCACCACCTTTGCTCTCAATATTTTTGTACAAATCAGAGAAAACCTTGCCTTATGCTTCTCGCACTGCTTTCTATGCATTTTTTCTCGCCAATCTAAACTTTTGTAGGTTCTCATCATCAGGACATTTATGGAAACATCTAAAGCATTCCTTCTTTTGTTAATTGCCTCCTGCACCTCTTCATTCCACCATCATGTTTCTTTTGTTTGAAATCCATTCCCTTTGCTTTCTCCTAACACCCCTGTTCTCACTCTTTGGATACATATAGTCATTTCATTCCACATTTCATTTGCTTCTCCATCGAACTACCATGGTCCTTCATGAAATATCATTTCCTTGAACTCTATTTGTTTATCCTCATTTAGCTTCCACCATCTTATTATTGAGTTCTAAGCACTCTTCAGCATTTTATGTACCTTGTTTAATCGAACTTTTAGAACTACCAGCTTATGTGCAACAAATTTTGCAGGGTAGACCTTACAGTCAACACATGAGGTTTTATCGTCTCTTCTAGCCAAAAAGAAATCAATCTGGCTATAATTTTGGCTGCTATAATATGTGATTAAGTGTGGCTCCCTCTTTCGAAAAAAGGTGTTCGTTAGCATCAAATCATAAACTAGTACAACATTCAAGATATCACCTCTAGCCTTATTTCTCGTCCCATAGCCATAACATTCTTGACTTTTACCAACATGTCCATGTAGATCTCCTCCTATGAAATTCTTTTCTCATGGTATCCCCCTTAAACCTCTTCAATGTCTTCCCAAAATTGGTTCTTATCGGTTAATTGCAATCCAACTTGGGGGGCATAAACATTGAAGATATTCAAAATTAAATCGCCTACTATGAGCTTAACCAAAATAATCCTGTCTCCTTTTTTTCTGGTCTCTTAAATTTCTATCAATCATAATCCCAACACCAATTTTACTCTTGTTTATACTTATATCCCACAACTTGAATTTGGTAGCTTCCACTTCCTTAGCCTTTTCTCTAGCCCGCTTAGTTTCTTGCAAGCAAGCAATATTCACTCTCCTTCTAGTACAAATATTTGCTAACTCCCTCGATTTACTTGTTAAGGTTCCCATGTTCCAGTTTTCCAATCACATCCTTAAACCCTGGGCATTTTTTGCCCGTCACACTTGCCCATTTACGTGTTGGGACCCTGACATACTTGTCATCGAATCCGGGTGAAGATATGGCGCCTTGCCCCAAGACAAGGACCCTAGCCCATTTACCACTACACCCGGGGTCCGATGCAGCGCCTTGCCTTGTGGCAAGGGCCCTAGCCCATTTTTTGCTACACCTGAGGTCTGATGTTATGCATCACTAAGAAGGGTACGCTCCAATGAAAAGTCATAAGGGTACATCTCATAGATATAGTTGTTTTCTCTTACGACCGACTCATTACACCTGACGCCAACCCTTCTCCTTTACCCTGACTTGGGACAGGCCATGCATGTTTGCATGCGTACATACATAGGCAGAGTTGAATTCATTTAACTTATTGCTTTGTAATTTCCCAACTGGATTCTTTTGTTTGCCGTGGCTTGCCCAAGTATAGTGGACGTATACTTAGTTATCTATATTTTTTGTACTTTCACATGTTAATTTCAGAGGGTTGTGTCAAACCTCAAAACACAGTTCCGTGTTATAAAATGCGCCATTGCCACTTATGTCTGATATATCTTTCTATCATTGTGTCTTCTCTACTCATTTTTCGATTTTAATGGTTATTTTTTGCAGTATAATACAGGACAGTATCTAGAGTCGCTTGCAGTTGAGTTGGTGGTTTTGGCTATATGGAAGAAAGCTCTAGAAATTTGTAGCTCTTGGTTAGCCTCCATTAGTGAGGGTGAGTTGCCTGGAAGCAGTTCAGCTAATGAATCCATATTGGCAAGTGGAGATGTGGGCTTGTCACAGACCATGGAACAACAGAACATAAATTTCAGTGATCCTACATCTGTTTCCTTGTGGGCCAAATATGGGTTTATTGTTGCAGTTGAGCATGCTGACAAACTATCATGTCATATTCAAAATATGGATGGTAGGACTTCTTTTTTGTTTCTGAACTTAATCCTTTCATAAGCCTAACATTGCATTTGCAAAGACTGATTACATGATTCGAAGTTGTGCTAAACTTCCGTTTATATTATCTAAAAAAATCATATCAACTATGTACTCAAAAAAACATATTGCAGGGGCAGCCGAGATGCCAGATGCAATGGAGATTATATTCCGACAAGCACTTATATTCGGGACAAGTGGTGCTGTAAGTAGACAAACACTTGTAAACTATGAAGGGAATAGACATTATTATAAATTAATCAGTACTTCACTAAATAGGCTTTTTTCCTTTTTTCTAGGTAGATGAGTATATGGAGAACAGAGACAGGGCTGCTGCATCTTACTCAAAAGCGATTCTTCTACTTTCATTTATTGTGGGAGAAGCAGAGAACCTTCCACTTAACCCACCTTTTTCACTTCTTGAAACTGATAAGAAACGAATCTTAAAATATATTCTCATCTTGCAGTCTCGTAAAAAATCTTCGTCACAGTCCTCTTCAAAGGAAGCTTGCACTCTTTCATCGAAGTAAATAACCTGTAAATTGGTGAAGTAATTTGTTGCTGACATGAGTTGTTGACTTCCTAATAATTCGACCAGAGACAACCTTTGACATATACCTTATTGTATATAGATATGTACAAACCTACCATGGCTTTTCAGAGGGACTTTGCCTTTATTGCATGTTTAATGTATATATAATCTCGTTAATTCTTTGAGATGGAATTTGTAAATAGTGTATAGCTCATAGTCTTGTACAATTTTGAAACCACTTTACGATCAATTAGTGCAAATTTCTTGTGATAATGTTGTATTTAAAATTTTCTTCCTGCGAAAGTTTTCCTGGTTCGTTTTGGGATTGCAGTAAAAGCACTGGCAGCTTAATTCAGGTTTTTTTTTTCAGCTAGGTTATGTTTAACCCGTTTACTTAATACTAGCATGTAATTATGCATTGCACAGAGTGTTTAAAAATTCGGTCCGGCCATAGACCTGGCCGGCCAGCCGAAGTCAGGGGTCACGGATTCAATCGGAGGTCACATAATTACTATGTTGATTCGATTTTATATATTAAAAATATATAAGTATATATATTCTATATGAAAATATTAAAAAACAAATCACCAATCATCAAAGATTCAAAATATACTTAATATAATTCATCAATTACAATTACAAGTCAATATTACACAACCTAATTAAAGTATCAAGATACCAAAATACAAAACTCATATTCTAATGGGGTTATTATGCTGATCCGACTCTGCTTCTTTTGAGAAGGTCCCTAACTAAGAAAAATTTAAAGGAAGTAAGAATGAGTTTTTGTTTTCCATCGACAATCGTAAAGATTTCATTTAAATGGGTAAAATTCTTATCTTTTCTAGAAGATTCACGGTAGCGAGTTGAAAATTGAAGACGTCTAGGTCACTGGAAGAGAAAAGAATGATTAAATTTAAGTTTGCAAGCATTTTTTTTTTTTTTTTAATAAAACGATGTTGTTTCGTGGAATTTAAAAAAAAAATGTAGTGACCCCCTTTGACCCGGGAGTCACTGAAACCCGGCCGGATATTGGAGGTCAGAATGGTCGAAATGCATATAGGATCCAACTTGTGACCTCAATCCTCAAAGAGGAAAAGTCATGATTGATCCGGGTCAACTCGGGAGACAGAGTGCGATTTTGGGGTTTTGAAACACTGTTGCATAGTACGAAGAATAGTTCCAATTTAGTATGACTGCTGAATTTTTTAATGAAAAATTCTCTCAATTTTCATAATTGCAATACATCAAATCAAATATAAAACTTGTCTAGCTAGTTACTAAAGCGATTCAAATGTGATACACTACTTACCATTTCAAAATAGAGTTTGATGAAAAGGAAAACACTTGCAAATAAAGACGGAAAAATTAATTTATGCCAGAATTTAAGATTGAGAGCCTGTTTGGATCATCTCTTTTTTAAGCTAGAAGTTACTTATAAGCTAAAGCTAAAAATAAGAGTTTAAAAAAAAGTTAAAAACTGTTTGGTAATTATATAAATTTTTTAGCTTAAAAGTACATATTTTAATAAAATTATCTCTATCTATCTTTATAAGTCTTCATTTCAAAAAAAAGCACACAATTCAAGAAAAGCAGATAAGAGCTTAAAATTTTTTTTTTCCTAAAAACTTTTAACTTTCAACTTTTTTCTTCATTATAAAAAAAAGAGTTTTTTCTAAAATCTGTTTGGCCTAACTTATACTTATAAGTATATTTTAGCTTAAAAATAAGAAAATCCAAACATACGGCACTGAGAATCATATATTTATAATAATCCTATCAAGGAAGCCGTCAAACTTCGAAGTCAAATATATATATATATATATAGAGGTAGGATCCTTTGACACCAGTGTCAAACTTAAAGTTTGACACCTCATCTTAGAACCGTTAGATCAAAAAAGATCAACGATTCTGATTTGTAAGCATATGACACCATCGATCTTTTTTGATCTAACGGTTCTAAGATGAGGTGTCAAACTTTAAGTTTGACACTGGTGTCAAAGGATCCTGACTCATATATATATATATATATATATATATATATATATATATATTCACTTTCGTCGCATCCAATATACGGCATATGTTGGCTGCCACATCAACATATAAGTATATCCTGTAGTTTGAGAAAATTTTATTCAATCTGAGCAGAGTTCGTAAAAGAGAAAAATAGTTCAGAGATATATGTCAAACAACTACAAGAAAAACGAGGAAAATGGCCAAACGAAGGATCATAAATTAATGTTCAACGTTCCAACAACACTTAATATATCTTATCTAAGTCTATATAGCGGAGTTTTTAACAGCATTAACATCAGTTCAAGATGGCAAAAGAGCATATATAATAATTTAATATAGTACACACATCTGCACAAGTTTCGTGAGCTGCAGTATTAGAAATAAACAATATAGGGATTAAGAAATGACACGCAAAATCCAAAGGTTTCCTCTGTGCGATTGCATGCATATATGAAACCTCAAGTCGAAGCTTCCCCGTCCAAGCGTATTCTCTTAGAACCTTTCTCTTCACCTTGGTTACTGGTCGTTCCAAGCCTGTTTTCCTTGGCCTCCACGGAACATCTTTTGTAAGGTTTAAAGCCTGTTCGACGAGTCATAAGCTTTCCTTGTCCAAGCCCTATGGTTAGCAGTCCCCCGTTATTTTCTACAAATGGTATGTTTTTATGCATTCCTTCACAATTAGAACTGCTTCTCTTGCTGTCAAGGTCTTCATCTTTGTCATCTGTGTTTTGCTTGTTATCTTTGATGTCTTCCATTTGATGATCCTTATTTTCCAAATCATTAGGAGGTGAAAAGCTTTGAGGCAACACCTCTCTGGAGAATAGAGCCTGAAAGGCCAGTCTCCCCTGAAAATAACAATGGCATGAGAAGAGAAGGAATACATGCTAGCATTGTATTGAAATTTCATTAAAAGTAACTGGGATACCTCTTCAGAAACCTCCTTCCAAGAATCGGTAAGGTTGCTAATACTTCTAGTTCGGCGATTACTAGACTCAATAGCTAAATGGCTAGCATCAGGTGTTTCAAGCTCTTCATTCCCTTTCTCATTCTTCTCTAATGCATCAGTCTCCACTTCGCTGCTAGAGGTTGTGTTGGAACCACATGAGGAACGGTCAACCTGTTTCCTGCCCTTCGTTTGGTTGGAATCAGGGTGCTCGGAAATTGCTTTGTTCATCTCGTGATCAGTGGTAGCCTTTGATGAAGTATTTAACTTGGCATCTCCATTCTCAGAATCTGATGAAGTAACAGCTGGTGACTTAGAAGCTGGATGTTGAGCTTGTTGAGCTTCCGAGTATTCTGCATCCAGTACCTGATCTTGCATATGAGGATTTTGTAGTGTAATATTTTCTTGGTGTGTATTCAGTGCCGGTGTTTCACCAGCATTCATTGATGGAAATGCAGTCATTGATGCTGGAGGACAGGCAAAAGCAGTATGGAGAGGAGCACACAAAGGAAGCAACCCATGAGCTGCCCACCAAGCAGTTGCAGCAGCTACAGTAGCAGCTGCAATAGCTGCCAGACTTGGAGGGGAGCCAATTTGTCTAGATGGAAAACCTCCTTGAGAACACCTAGGAGAATCTGCTGAAGTATCTGGGTTTCCATAGGGCCAAAATGAAGCAGCAAAACTTGCTGCAGCATGGGCTGCTGGATTTTGCAGCAAGGTTGAGACAACAAGACTTGAAAATGTGGAGGACATGTGAAGAAATGATTGACAATCATCTTGGTTGTGTTGTGTTAAGGGAGGATAAGGAAGAAATGATTGATGAATAGAAGATCGTGATGTGTTGCCTTGGCTTTCACTTGCGTTTGATGCATCCGAATTGGTGAGAAGATTAGGTAGCCCGTTAACCCCTCCTATTGGCTGAAATGTGGAGTCTCCAAACAACATATCTTGGAATGGATTTTGAGTACTTGTTCCGTTCCCATCAACAACGTGCACAGTAACATGTCTAGGGTAATTCTGATTGCCTTGCGTCCTATCTATTGTTGATGCGCAATTAAGACCACCTGTTTTCTCATTTTGAACCAATGTCACTTGTGAGGCATCAGAATTCTCCAAATTGGAGTCTTTACTAGTGCTATTAGTCTGTTTTCCAATATTGATCTCCAACTTCCGATTTTCAAGTTCAATAGTGACAAAAGATTCATTTATTTCATCTGCTATTACCTCATTCACTGAAGGTGTAATCTCCTTTAAGGCGCATGAATTTCCCAGTGGCACTGACATTGATATTGAACTCTTGTTTGCTGAAGATACAGAGGAACAGGGTACCTCCTGGAGAACAGTAAATACTTTTGAGCGGTTCTCATCCTTATTTTCTTTTAAAGTTGTTGGCCCTTCGTCTAAATCATTTTTCTAACAAAATACGGAACAAGCTGAATTATTTAACTGAAAGAGAAAACTGAAAAAATTTGTCGGGAAAGTAAAATATAAAGAATAAAAGCAATATTAACCTCTGGAAGTGGTTCTTTTTCCAAGTCCAGTGCTTGCTTATCATGTGAATATTCAAATGAATTGAGTTTTCCATCCTTTGCTCCACTATGTAATGTTGCGCTACCAACACTGGTCTTCCGAGGGTAAGGATTGCTTGGTTTTCTTTTGGGCCGTGGAGGGGGAATGTCTATGTCAACAGCTTGTCTGATCGGAACACCCTTTACAAGGGCCTCTTTCTCCAACTGAAAGTAGAAATTGTAATAGTATTCTCAGCAAGTGAAGTTTCACAAAAACCATTGAAAGCACTAGTTGGAGTTCTAGCACGTTTATCCTTACGAAAAATTTCCAAAATAGTTTCTGAGAAATAGAAATAGTTGTAACACAAACATTTCAGTGTATTCATGCACAAAGCAGAATCAACTATGCGTATGGTTTTAAATCAAGTACTACCTTTCATGAAAGCTAAGAAAAGAAAACTATCTGGAAATATTCTCCAATCAAGTTGGGGAAAAAAATACCTGTCGGTGTAATCAAGGATTATCCACATGGATTTGGAGGGGCTGGAAACTGATTGTGGTTTAACTAAAAAGATGTATAACAACACCATTTATTCATTGTAGACTTTGAAGAGGTAGGAAGCCATTGACATTAGGAAAACGAGACACAAACTACATTGATGGTAGTAGTTCTATGAAACAGGAGAGGTCGATTAACAGTCCCCAAAAATTTGCAGAATCCACCACTGTTAAACTTGTGCACCAACACAACTAAGGGATTACAATACGAGCTAGTCTTTAAAGACTAGTTTAATGATCTTAGAAAAATAGTACAAAATATTTCCTTTTTCAAGGAAACTAATCTTTCAAGGGGGGGAAATTTTTATTTGTATTTAAAAAAAAAAAAAACAATCATGGATCCCACAAGTAAGCCCATTCGATCATCTGCAGGAATTTCTACTATGCTGGTTTAATATTATGTTCGAAATTCCACATAATATTAGCAGTGAAGAGTTGCATTTATGGTTGTAGGCGTATTTTATAACTGTTTACACAGGCCCCAAAACTCAATAGCAAGCATTTTGAGTTGGGTTAATTTTTTTTTTTTGCGTACTATGGCTTTGACATGAAGTCGTATTCTATATATGACAAGGGATACTAGTACAATTAATTAAAAAAAGGGGGGCTGGTCTGACCAAGAAAATCAAATTGATTACTTGGCCAAACCAACCCCCCATCATTCAAGTGGGCAAATTCCTTTCAATGGGAGAGAGAAAGACAGATAGAGCATTTAGACATGTATCGTCCATCATTGAACTAACAATAGGCATTTATATTGAACTCTTGTGTACTTAAAACTCAGAGAATTTAAGTTCTAGAAATTAGTGTGAGCATCTGTCATCATGAAGAAAGTAAGGAACTTTAGTTTCCGTTGCTTCTTATCAACAGTGGTCTTGTTTGCACTCAATTAAAAGAAGAGGAGAAATCACATGAAAGCTTTCAAGTTTCTGTATTCTGCAATTGTCAAGTACGATAGTTATTATTGTTATTAGTTTATTATTTAGTCATCTTAATACTACTGCTATTATTAAAGAATTGTTTTTTATTATTATAGGAGGTGAATGTGAGCCTCGTTATTTGTTGATTTGCACTAAGTTGAAGCCATTGACATAAAGGCAGTCTGGTCTTTCTGTAGCTATACTATCGCTCTCGTGCTCTCACGCCGCGTGTAACAAAAAGAAGAGGGTTTCCCCTATGCCTAACCAGGAAAGGGACGAATAGTTCTTTAACATTCTTATCCTTTATTTTTCTCACGTCTTCCTTAAAATAAATTTCTGTTTTTATACTTGCTTTCACTTTTACTAGAAAGGTCAAGCTCACTTAAGCATTCACAATGTTGCTAGGTGTGCGCTGTACTTTCAGTATAAATAAGGTTTAGTAGAAGGCCAAGAAAAAAATATAAGGGTCTTCAATACCAATGATTTAGTGCAGTTGATTATTGCCTCACTACAGGTGCTTATAAGCTTTTTATATCAGATTTTCATTATAGTGATATTAAATAAGCAGATGAATCAGAGTCCGTAATCCTATGTATTTGTAGTTTTGTACATAAACATATACTTGTGTGTGCGTGTGTATTTTTTCTCATTGTATTCAATAAGAATTAGAATGGAATGAATGAAGAATTGAAGATTCAATAAATCTACTGAAACAAATCCATTTTGCTTCCTTTGTAAGTTTCAGCTAGTGAACAGTCCTCTATACTCTGTTATAGGAATTGAATTATTATCTTCTTCTATTTTATAAAGCCTAAATTTCCAAAACATTTTCCTTACATTTAGTCTACAAACATAATCCCGCTGCCCGGCATGTCAGCATCCTACTAGAGCTGGAATTCCAGCCACCCTTTGTGTATGAAGGATCAACTTTCCTAGCTATATAAATCAATTACCAATCCTTATTATCTTAACAACCCTGAAGTCCTTTTTGGAGAATCATCATTAATTTGGAAAGGAATAATAATTCTAATTATCTAGCTTTTACTCCCTTGATCCATCATTAAAAATTCAACTGAGTAACTGCACATCACATGATAGTTATGTTCCAGTATCATATTATTTCTTGTGTTCGGAACTTCAAGTTTCAAATATGGGTACTGCACTCTTGGTATGGTGAATTATGAAACTTCCCCTAGCTAATTTAGCAACCACAGTACATTCTCCCCTTATTATTTTCTTATTCTCAGAAAGTCAATTTGGAAGTAATATAAAAGACAGCATTGCTGTTGTTGAAGTTATTGATTTTTGTGTTTAAAAATTCATATTAATTTCCCACAATATATACGTAATGGTTATTAATAAAGAACAGGTAAAACAGCCATCTTGACATCTAAGCATTTCCTATAACACAAAGATAGGAATACCTCGATTGAACTCAATAAAAAGAAATATTGTATTAATGCTTAGAAAGCAAACTTATTGGAAATTGTTTCAGAAACAAATGGCAACAAGATGGAAATACAAAAAGCTCACAAAAATACTTAGAAATTTAACTTTAAATAAATATTAGTATTAAACATGTTAAAAAAAAAAAAACAGTAAAAGAAAACAGGTACTAAATTATCAAGGATATTGAAGTACTGAAACGAGTTATTAGATTTATGATAAAGCAAAACAATGCTAAATAGTCGTTCAAAACCCTATCAGACTTTCTCCAACACAACATATAATTTGGTAAAGCAATGCCGGAGAAATTAAATAAATTCAATTAAGTCCTTCAGTGCTCCTCCATACATTCTCTGTCTTCGTATAGAAATTGATTGTTCTCTCACCATCACATAATAGAAAGAATTACCTTCCAAATTCTCATACTTCTCATAAAACCTAGTATTGCCCTGTGACTGACCCATCAAATTTCTCTCTATGAAAGGCATAATACAACGATACAACGAGCTCTAGAAAAAAGAACACCACCAGACTCCAATAAAAAGTAGCATGACACCCTTTCAAGATAACAAATAAAAAGTCAACTCAAACAACTTCCTGATATGTAGAGATCTTAGGTTAGAAACTGAATCAGAACACTTATAGGTGGTGAAAATCCTCTGTATTATTCCTCTGCGAATACTGGTACCAGTATGCTATTAGTACTAGTATGGTAAGCTTACAATGAACGTAAGGACAAAAACTGTAAAAAGATACAACAGGGTATTCGTGAGACCATGCCCACTCCCTCACTATACTTATTTTCCTCCTCTATCTTCTCATCTCCCTTCTTATAGCTCTACAGGTCAACTTTCCCTCCTGATTCCTATATGCAATGTGACACTAATCACTAAATTTGTAATGCCCGGCCGATTACAAGATTAATGACAGTCTCATCAAACTAACATGAGGCTTTTCAACATGCTTTGTTCTCACTTACATACTTCCTAAGAAGTTTTCCCAGGAGGTCACTCATCCCAGAATTGCTCTAAGTTATGGACTACCAAAAAGTAGATGCATCTTGTTAGTATAGGTAGTACCAATTAATTCTTATAAGTTATCCCTAACTGTACAATCTCATACCTGCACAGTCTCTAGAATCCCTCTATTTCGAGTGTTGATTCGATTCATTCATGTACCCCTCCAGTTGCAAGCCTGGCAGGAGCCGCTCATTGTCCGTGCCTCATCTCTTTTGCACCGACGATCACTCCCTGCCCTTGAGATGTTACAAAATTCTCCTTGATTGCTTCTCCATACCCTTTCCTAATATAAACCTTAGCAATAGGTGATTTCCTAACAACACTACTCCCCAAAAGCCTTCAACCTTGTACTCAAGGTGAAAGGTAAGAAAGTCTTCTTGCAGTCTTATAAATGATTTGCAGGAATTTTTAAAGTTTGGCAGGTCCTGCCATTTAAAGAGGACTTTAGTGAGATCCTCGAGAATAATCTGTAATTCAATCCTCTTTAGACTGCACCTTGAGTCCCCATTAGGAATAGGAAAGCGGCTAATGGTTGATCCTCAGCAGGAACAAAAACAAATTTCTTAAGCAGTGAGACAAGGAATACAATGGGCAAGTTTAACTTATAAACCTGTTCAAGGATCGCAAATGGTCCATAAAACCTAGGAATAAGCTTTTCATTGATCCACTTTGTTAGTGATTTAAGTCTGTAAGGTTGAATCTTATGGTAGAAGATTAAAGATGCAGGTTGGTAGCAGACATCCCTTCTACGCTTCTCAACCTGCAATTTCATACTGTACGGGACCTGTACCAAGTTATGCTTGTGGTCATCCAGCATCAGATTAATGGTTAACCTCTTCAATAGTAGATGGAGTTGTGGGATCATAGTAGTTAATTGCGCCGCAATAGCGCTGCGAGCCGCGTCGTATGGGCGTTGCGGTGCCTCGCCACAAGAAACCGCGCCACACCGAAACGCAATAGCGAACATTGCGATCGCATTTGCAGCCATATTGCTCTCATAAGGCAAAATGTCAATTTTGTCCTAAATTTAAATGTGTAATGAATAAAATTTAAGGATTTTTTAGTCTATCTGCGTCTATCTCTGTCACTTCTGTTATCTCTTCCTTTAAAAAATGTTTATTTTTGTCATTATTTCTGTCATATATCTATTCCGCTATTTCTGCAACCGCAACCCGCTATAACGCTATAGCGTTTTTAGGGGTTGGCCGCGACATACCGCAATCCGCATTTGATAACTATGTGTGGGATATTCTTAAATAGGGCAGGAGAGCCCTTGCCATACAAGGCATTAAAAGGAGTAAGCCGTTTTGTGCTATGATAGTTGGTATTATACTAATACTCGGTTCAATTGAGCAATCTGAGCCACTGCTTAGGCTTTAAACATGTTAAACTTCGCAAATACATCTCTAGGTATCTGTATCTACTGACAACCTTAGTTTGGCCATCAGGCTAAAGATGGTAGGCGAAAATAAATTTGAGTTTGGCACATAACCTTGTGAATAACTTGGTCTAGAATTGGGTAAGAAAAGGTGTGTCTTTATCAAAGACTATTGTTGAGCGGAAGCTATGCAATTTGACAATTTCTCTAGTAAACAGTCCAGCCACCTCGTTGGCCGTGTAAGGTTGACTTAACGCCACAAAATGGGCATATATAGCGAACCTGTCTGTTATAACCATAATGGTGTCCTATGAAATTCACAAAAATATCTAGCCAGATTTGAGTGGATTGATAAGGGCTGCAATAACTTGGAAGGAGATAAGGCTTGGTACTGTAATTCATTTATAAGTTTTGAAAAAGCTAGAATTCCTTTAGCGATTTTTCGAGAAGATTTAGGGAGGACCAGCTTCCCTCCTTGGATTAGAATCCTGAATGTGAGTTAAGATTACTCAACAATGTTTTCCTACATAGTGCAGCCACCCTATTCTCCACCCCTAGCTAATAATTCACCTCAAAATCAAATTCTATCAATTTAGAAGTTCACATTTGTTGGTCTTCATTCATCACCCCAAAAGCCATGGCTCATTTACGAATTTTAACAATTTTTTGGTCTCTATTAACAAAAAAGCACCTCACTATCAAATAATGCCTCTATTATTCAATGTAGAAAATTATGGCCATAAATTGGCCAAATTGTTTTCTTCAATATACTGATCTATTGAGTGCCCAATCATATTAGTCTACTTCCCTGCATTGGCAGGACATATATTCCTTTCCCGAAAGCATCATTCTCCATTGTAAACACCTTTCCAAAGTTTAGAATTTCCAATACAGGTACATAAATCATACAAGATATCAGGGTATCAAAAGCCTGTTGTGCTTTCTCTTCCCATTCAAAGCAATCCTATTTTAATAGCTAGATCAGGGGCTTTGCGATGTTCCCATAACAAACTTCCAGTAATACCCAATTACACCCAAAAAAAACTTGTATGCCTTAACCTCGGAAGGTCGTGACCAGCTAATCCCGGCTTCTTCTTTTTTGGGATCAGCCTACCAATAGCCGAAATTAGGTAGCCAAGATTTCCAATTGTTCTTAGACAAAACAACATTTCTTCTTGTTCACGTACAAGCTCTATTCTCTCAAAACTTGAAGCACCATTCCTAAACGCGAAGCACAAGCTAGCTGGCCAAAATTGTAAATTAAAATATCATAAAAAAACACCAGCACAAACCTTAAAAATGATCTCAACATATTATTCAAGAGGCCTTGGAATGTAGATCATGCATTTGTCAACTCAAAAGGCATCATAAAGAATTCGTAATTTCCATCATGAGTCTTAAATGATGTTTTGTGAATGTCCCCCTCTTGCATCCAGATCTGGTGATAGAAAAAGACTATAGCTCCGCATAATTCTTCCAAAATTCATCTATTGGAGGGATTAGAAATTTGTTAGTACAATTGCTTTGTTTAAATTTCTATAATCTAACACAAAATCTCCACCTAACCTCCTTTAATTTGACCAGTATCACAGGGCTAGAATATGCGATTATACTTGGTATAATAATCCCAACACTTAGCATTTCACTAATTAATTTTTCTATCTAATTTTTATTATAATGAGAGTACCTGTAAGGTCATATGTTAGGAATTTATGCTCCTTCATTTAATATGATGGCATGATCAGGTTTACTTTAGGTGGTAGTTCGAGGGACTTGAAAAAACCTCTTCAATTGTTGCAAAACCTCTTTTTTTATAGATTTCTCCACCATTTCATTGATTAATCGACTAATTCGGTCAAGCCAGGTAGGACCACAAGGATAACAAAACTCTTCCTACCAAGTTTTTAACAAAACTACATACTCATGACTCGAACTCGAGACCACTAGTTAAGTTGGAACAATCCTGTGCCAATTGATTCACGTGCTTGGAGGTGCAAAACCTCTTTTAATTCTGGCCACACTATATTCTTTTCCTTCAGTGTTAGTGACAACAATTGTACTTTACATAGATCCCTTTTTCCATAGATTTGAAAGAAACTGTTGTACACAAAAGGGTCTCCCTTCAAAACAATAGTCTGGTCTACCAACTGATTGTTCTTAGTTAGTGCTCAAAAATTGGCCTTGATCTCCCATAAACAATCTATCCAACTAAAGTACCACATTTATTCCTCCTAATCCAAACAAGAACAAATCTCGCAAATTTGCATATATTGTCGTGCATAGTAAACCATATGCACATCTCTTTACCTCCACCCAATTTTTAGGAGTATTAGTCACAAGTTATTCATATTCTTACACCAGCCCTAGTGCTATAAAATTGTTTATGCATAACAGACGATAAGTACCACTACTTGCATGTCCTTTAGATGGCCCTATAATTTTGATGTCCTCCAACGTATCATCCCCATCATGTTGTGAAAAGGTAAATGAAGAGGTTACTCTTTTGTCTCTTGCCTGTCCTCTTACTCCTAGTGGTCCTCCCCTTGTCCATCACTTATGTCCTTTACAACTTCCACTACCATTAAATTAACTTGTTGTACTTGCACCCATTGTCCAGCATATAAGGGAAAATTGGAATGACGCCCAACTTGTTTTGGTGGCACTGGCACATAATTCCCATCACTAGAACTTGTTCAATATGCATCCCCCTACTGCCAACTTACAGGTTTCCATTGTTCCCTTAGACCCATAAAATTCAAACAAAAGTACCTCTCTACCAACTAATAAAATACATCTGCCTTCACCTAAGAACATCGAAACTTCTAGTACCCCCCTCCCTCAAACCCCTCAAGTCCTGATAGCCCAGCTATTATTTGACCCAACAAAGCTTCCTCCTTCACTGTCTCCCTCCTATTTGTCCCTAGAGGCTAGGGATGTTGTGATCCCCCCCCCCAGTCTTAGATCAAATGCAGCAACTCTTATACTTCCTCACTCTTCCTTCCATATCCTCTTTGAATCACCTCTATTCGTGCTTTTGAGAGGGCTAGAGAGTTAGTTAGAATAGTTTTTGGCCAGTTACAGTTAGAGAATTAGTATAAATGGCAGGAAAAGGAAGAAGAAATAATTTATTATGGTTAGTTTTGAAACACATATAGTGGCTCAATTGTAAGGGAAAACCCTTGTGAAGGAGATCTCTCCTTGTTCAATCATTTCTTAATAGCAAAAGTTAGATTGCTATAGTTGTCTTTTCTCATCTTTGTTTTACTCATCTCTAGCCTTAAAAAACTTAAACCATTTTTGGGTTCTTAACAATTAGTCTCACATGTTGGATTGCGTATCAAAGAAGCTATTGCCTTCATTGCAAAGAACTTTAAGTTTATAGAAGCCCAATTCCGCAGGTTACAAAGCAAGCAATCCCACCTAGAAGGGTTGATCAAGGAGTATCCCCACCAGAATGTGTGTTGGAATATCAGTCAACAGAGAGACCAATTGATCAAGCTCTCATCAAATGGTTCTCTCAGCCACTAGAGGACATTACTTGGCAGGGTGAATGTCTAATGCAATTCTAGTTTTAGTTTTCAACCTTGGGGACAAGGTTGAACTTCAAGGGGATGGTATTGATAGGGCCAAAGAGGTAGTTAGTTAGTTAGAATAGTTGTTGGGAGGTTAAAGTTGTTAGAGTTAAAGAATTAATATAAATAGCAGGAAAAGGTAGAAGAAAGATACATATTGGTTAATTTGGAAAAACAGAGCAACGATTCAGTTGTAAGGAAGGAGATCTCCTTGTTCAATCTTTTTTCAATAAGAGTAGTTGCATTTTTTATTGCTATTCTTTCCTTTACTCATATCTGTTTTACTAATCTTTAGCCCTAAAAACACAAAACCCAGTTATGGGTTCCCAACAACTACCATCCTCGTATGCACCACCCATAGTTCCCAAGATCATCTGCACCACCCCTAGTTAGGATTTTTTTATATTTGCAATATGAGATCTTCATATATTTTGATGTCCACCAGTTCAAATATTTGTGCAGTTGGATCGGAATTTTCATTCATTAAAGAGAATCAAACAAGATATAAAACTGATATGTAAATCAATAGCAAGTCAAAATAAAGCATAGGTGAAAATAATTAATTTACTTTTTGAAATCAGTTATATGAAGGATCATCATTTAAAATCAACATGACAAGTGGAACGTGTTCCGAATCCGCAATTTCTCAACAAATATATTTTGGGTTTTATTATTGAAGAAGCACTATAGTTTCCTTGACATTTCAATGTCACAAGTTGTTCATTTCGTTAGTATATTTTTATACTTTCAATTTGAGATCCTGATATAGTTTGAAGTCCACCAGTTTAGATACAGAACTATGTTGTGCAGTTGGATCAGAATTTTTATTCATTAAAGTGGATCAAACAAGATACGAAACTCATAAATAAATCAATAGCAAGTCAATAGAAAGCATAGGCGAAAATAAAAAGGACCGAAATTTTGAACATATAATCCAAGGTGAAAAGGTACCCATATTGACCTTTGTAAAGAACTTCTGTGCATGGCTCCTGATTTGAACAGCGGTCTTTGTTCCTATATGCTCTGAAAAGCAGAAGTAAATCAGCAAAAAGGGGCAAGGACATGGGAGGAAAAAAACAAAAAAGTTCCAATTAAGAGTTAATAAAATATAGAGAGCAGTTCAAGGCATTTTCTAATAGAAAATTTCAACAGTATGAGGTTGGATATCACTATTAGTCTATTACTTGGAAATCCTAAATGAATTTCTGCAGAAAATAGTCAATTATTAACCAGGAGAAAACTATTACCTTCTATGCGTTGCCATGCTCGCCCATGTAGCTTCAAAGCTTCTAGAAACCTATTATGCTCCTCCTCTGTCCATCGTTCTCTTTGCTTTGAGATTGTATACGGTTTTCTTGTCTGCAATTGCCGGTAAACTACTTAGACAACAATACCAAACTTTACTAATTCCCTTTCACGATAAACTTGTCCATCTATCATAATAACCTAACCTTAATAACCACTTCTTCCCCACAAGAATATGCGTCCATTAGAGGGCGTAAGCAGCTAGCGCTGCTTCAGATCTTCCCTGACTAGGAGTGGATACAAGGAATACCTCCTTTCATTTTTTATGACACGAAACACAGTATATAATAAAGCCGTCGTGATGGAAGTGAGCTGAAGCTGAAGGAAAAATGATGCTACTGCAAAAGAAACAAAGCAAGAACAATAGGAAGAGATCCCTCTACTAAGCATTCCAATTCACATGCAACATGTAAAATAATACATAGAAGATGAAGAGGAAAAGAAAAAACAAATCAAAAAATTTCAAGAATCAACCGCAACAGATATAGACGCTTCTCCGAATGAGTAAAAGAAAATTTCCTTAATCAGAATCCTCACCTAGACGCACTCGACAGCGCCAAAACCTTTAAAACGCGGAAAGCAAAAAGAGAGGGAAAAATTATAATCAGTACACAAACTAAAAAATCACATCACAACAACAACAACCGTTTCTATCTTCACTTTAACAAATACTTTAATATCACTGCAAATTTTCAATCCTCTTGTTTGGTTGCCGAGAAAAAATAATCACAAAGCAACTCAAAATCACCGAAACTCAACTCAACAGAGTCGCGCTGGGAGTAGTGAGAGCACCTGCTACATCCAAATCGAGAGAGAGGAAGTAAATCGGTTCGCAGTTTCGCGGTGGTTGAATTTTCTCGGAAACCAAACAGAAAAAATTAAAAATAATAATTATTATTATAATAATAATAATAAGCTAAAAACGAAGGAAAACGAACACCTCAGAACAAAGCCATGGCAACGAAGAAGAACATCCTAGATCGAAAGCGATCATCACCGGACATACGCCTGAGGATTCATTTTCAGGCAATGGCGAATAACTTCAGACCAGAAAAAAAAAATCCAAAAATCTCGAAGTGGAATCAGAAGAAGAAATAGAAAGAGAGAAGAGAGGTTTTTGTTTGCTGAAGCGAGAAACCACAATAGAAAAACTAGAAAGAAAAATGCAGCACACTCACCCAAATTGTTTAAGCGCGAGGAGCAATCTCAGCCACTATAATTTCGTGAGGGTTTTTTATTTATTTTTTCTTTGAAAAATTAAGGGCTCGTTTTTTTTTTTTTCTACTTTTTTTGAGACTGAGAAGAACTGGCTCATGGAATCATGACAAGTGGCGAAAAGTTTCTGGTTCTTTCTACTGAAGCTTACTTTTGTACTTTTTTATTATTATTTTTTAAGGGGTGTTGTCTAATTTTTTTAATTTTTTTTTCTCCCTTGAATCTCATCCACAAACTCCTTGGCTGAGGTTTCAGGTCCGTAAAAGCGTTGCCAGCTGTGACGGTGGGGTGTCTGATTACGTGGCGATGTTAACCGCTTGCTCCGGTCATCAGTTATCCACGTGTCGACCGTGTGGCCACTAGCTTTTGGGTGACCGGTCTTGTGGTGTTCTGCTAGGGCTTTATCGGTTGACGTTCCATGAGTAAATAATATAAAAAATTACAAATTGGTCTAGAAAAAGGAATGACAAATTAATAGATTGTATAATATTGCTCGTTAAAAAAAATAACGTATTTATTAACAAATTCTGGAGTTGGTAGATAATTGGATTCTTTATATATTTTAATAGAAATTTGATACCTGATCGTGTATATAAAAAAAACTTTATTGATAAAAGCAAAAAAAAATTCGATAATCTTTATGCTTCGAAATGATTAATCTCCAATCATCGGTCGAATAATGCCTCAGGAAACTTAAAAAGAAAATCATTTAAATTAACTTCTTAGATAATTGAAATTCACTTAGCTAAAAAAAAAACCCTTTCGCACTTACATTCTAGTTCTAGAGTTAAAAATAATAAAATTTCAACGTATCAAACAAAAAATGTTAAACTAAGAAGCGGTTGTCAGCACAATTCTAGGAGCTTTTTTTGTGTTTTACTAAGAAAAAAAAAACAGTTTTCTCGCTGAATGCATTCTTGGGGAGGGGGTTGAATCTTTAGCCATCACTATTTCCCCGCACTCCGGATTAGTCCCATAGCCGGCTCAAAGAGTCGAAGCTCGTGGGGATACCAGAGGGAGCCAACTCGTCTCAAAGAGATAATTAGGGTTGGGTAACTCCAAAAAAAAAGAAAAAAACAGTTTTATAATTAAAAAACATGTTTACAAAATTTTATAATAATTAGACATGCTTTTTAAGAAAAATAAAAACTTAAAAAATAGTAGTTTTAAAAAATTTTATTTTGCAAAATGAAGAATAGAAAATTTAAAAAAAAAAATGATTAACATAATTTTTTTGTGTGGTTGAAACTTACGTGCTGTATCAGAATTAATATATAACTGAATATTTTCATCGAAATAAAGACTATACGATCGATCCTTCCAATATTATTTTGTGATAAATTTAAAGTCTTAATTTTGAATTCATCTTAAATAAGATTGTCTCTCATAGAATATATATATATATATATATATATATATATATATATATATATGATTTTTAAAAAAAAAAACTATACGATAGTAATAATCACCAAATAATAGTAGCTTAATTGGTGTATATGAGCTGAGTATGTAAGGGTGAGAGCATGTGTTTAATTTTTTCCAATATCACATTTGAAAAGAATTTAAACCCTTAATTTTGGATTCACTCTAAATCAAATTAATCGCAAAGTGATAAATCGATGGAATATTTAAAAAATAATACAATAGTAATCGAGAAGTAGTTAATTGGTCGTTTGCAATAACAAAACTATCGTTTTCAGTAAAAACGAAAGTCTAAAAGAGAAGAAAAGCAACTCTAAAGAAAAGTCAATAAATAAAAGCATAACATGTATGCTTTTTTTCTTTTTATGGTAAACCATAATATGTATGCTTTTATTTAAGAGGTTAAGGACAAAAGAAAATTTGTTTTTCAACTTCTCTTATCTGATATCTACCACAAATATATGAGGAAAGTTTAAAGGATTTATTGAAAACGATTTTCCAAAAAAAAAAAAAAATTATTGAAAACGCAAAAAAAATTATACATATATTTTTCAATCAATTCATGAAAAAATAATTAGTTTGGTTTGTTCAACTTGTAAAATCTCGATTCAATTCAAAAGTTTAAATTGATAAATAAATATTATATTTTATGTTATATTTCTCTAAAAAATTCATTGTATTTGAAGGTTAATAATTCATAGTATTAAATTTTTTATGATATTTAATAATATTTGGTGGAGCTTTAATTCACCTCAAAAATTTAATATTATTTGGTGAAAATTATATTTTATATTATATTTCTATAACACAAAATAAGAAATTTATATTTTTTCTAATAATAAAAAAATTTATACTTTTTAAAAATTTCTCCACCAATACATCAATAAATCGATTAATTCAATGGAGGCACGAAAACCACGTAAGCAACAAAATTCTACAATAGAAGTGGCTATCCGCTATCAACTCCACTTTATAGTTAATGACGCATTTTTCCTGAAACGAAATTTATTATCTGCTAATATTTAATGGTTGTGGTTCATTTCCCCTGGTCACACGTATGAGGTATGGCAACAGCACGGAGCACGCGCGATACCAAAAGTGAAAGCAGAAAAAGGACACACCCGTACACATAATTTCTTTTTTCGTTTCATTTCAAATTCTAGTGTTGTAATAAATGATGATAACTCACTGAACGTTAGAAAATTGAATAGGTAAAAGTGAAAGTATGTGTTGGATTATTTTTAGTATTATTTTTTTGTAGAAATTTAAATTTTAATCTCAGAACTTATTCCAAATCAAACTAATTCTGAAGTAATGAACCGATTAAAATATCTTAAAATAATAAAATTGTAGTGCTGTGTTAACAATAGCCACCAACACCCGAAGGTTATCGCACAAGGACTTAAAAGTTAAAAACCTAGGAGCACCCAGCCCAATTTACATGGACTTGAATCATCACATACGGAACCACACATGATCCATATAAACTTTTTGGGCTGTTCAGAGGACTATCTTTTAACTATCCAACATCATAAGATAAAATTGACGACTGGGCTGCAAAACATAGAGGACATATGATCTCTATAGCCATAGTTGCAGGCCTTTTGGGAGATCCGTTGTGTACATCTTGTCCGTATATATATATATATATATAAAAGATATTTTGACACCAGTGTCAAATTTTAAATTTGACACCTCATCTGAGAGTCGTTAGATCAAAAAAGATCAACGACTCTGATTTGCAAGTGTTCTGTCTGAAAGACAGAGATGTCCAACCGGTGGCTGGTATATTTTATGTATGATCTAGATGCCCTCTCTCAAGTATCTATGAATGAGATACCCTTGAGGGTAGTCCGATCACTGTGCACAATAATAATCGACATAGTCAAGGCGTGGGGTGTGTGCACAGTGACAAGCTAAGAGAGAGGGTTTAGAGAGTGTGTGTACCTTATTGGTTTAACCCTGTATTTATAGACGGGTTACCTGAAGGAGTGTAATTCTGGGCCTCTTCGGAATATTGGGGAGCCAAGTCCAACTGCTTAGCTGTCTGGATAGGATTGTCATCAATAGGAGATTCTATTCCTCTTGTGCTGTCCTTTATTGGTCCTTCCAGAATACGGGCCTTTGTCAGGTCCATAACAGCAAGCATATGACACCATTGATCTTTTTTGATCTAACGGCTCTCAGACGAGGTATCAAATTTGAAATTTGACACTGGTGTCAAAGGATCCTACCTCATATGTATATATATATACACACACACACATATATATATATATATGGGGCAAGATATTCTTACACTGGTGTAAGAATTAGAACTCTTACACTCAATCAATCATTGATCCACTTGTATCCAATGACTCGTATTACTAAAAAATTAGAGCCCTTAGATATTATTAGAATCAACTAGGGCTGGCAATATGGGCCAGCCCGCCCCGGCCCGCCACTAGCCCGCCCCGGCCCGTTTTGACAAAATGGGTTGAATCGAGTAACCCGGCCCGTTTTATGAGTGGGCTGGCGGGCTACGGGCCAGCCCGCCTAAAATAAAAAAAATATAAAAATTAAATACAAAAAATTAAATTCTGCATAAAATCACATAAAAAAATCTGCATAAAAGCATACAAAAATCTGTATAAAATCCTAATGTGCTTATGAAACCAAGAAGATCAGTGTTTAATAATCTGCATATAAATATGCATCTTTCAATCCAAAAATAATAATAAAAAAATAAAATCATATCAGGATAAAATAGAATAACAAAACAAGTAACAAAGTGTTGTATGAGCAGTCCACAACAATTCAAAAAAGCCACTTGCAAGCAGAGAAATCTAAGATACGGAGCTACATAACAATTGGGTAACCTAAAAAAAAATAAAAAAAAATGACTTGGCGGGCTAGCCCGCCCCGTGGCGGGCTGACCCATATGGGCTGGCGGGTTTGGCGGGGCGGGTTGGGCGGGTTGGTGGGTTGAAAGACTCAACCCAGCCCGCCCCATTTGGCAGGCGGGGCGGGCCAGCCCAGCGGGCTCAGCCCATTTTGCCGGCCCTAGAATCAACGGACAAGATTGAAAATGTAACTTACACTGGTGTAAAATGATCCTCACTCTATATATATATATATATATATATATATATATATATATATAGAGAGGAGGGATCTTTTGACTCTAGGGTAAGACTTACAACTCTTACTCTTCATCTCAATCGTTGATTTCCGTCCATCTAACTGTTATTAAATAATTATTTATTTCAAATAAATAATAACAGTTAGATGGACGGAAATCAACGGTTGAGATGAAGAGTAAGAGTTGTAAGTCTTACTCTAGAGTAAAAAGATCTCTCCCTATATATATATATATATATATATATATATATATGGGGAGGGATCATTTGACTCCAGAGTAAGATTTAAAAGTCTTACTCCTCATCCCAGCCCTTGATTTCCGTTCATCCAACGGTTAGCATTTAATAAGTAACAACAATTAATTAATTATTA